ACCCAATTTCGGCTAATAACAAAAAGTAGTTTGGGCTTATAAAAAAATAATTTTTGCCCAAAGTATTTGGGCAATTTTGACTACTAATAGAAGCAGTTTCGGCCAGAACCCTTAACCATAACTGATAAATTAATAGAAATTTCTTTTTATAATTCATGTTTTCAAAAAAAAACATGCTCTTGATTGAATCTTGTTGTCAACATTTACATGTGTTGGAATATATGATAAAGATACTAAAAAATCTGCACATAATAATTTTAACATATGTTTGATGATCAACAGCCACTGAACACCACAATAATTCTTGAGGCAAAAAGTAATATATTTATTTTATAACATAGTTTTGATCAATTTAGTAGCAATTTTAACAAGAAGTGGAATTTTCCTATCTTTTGACTTGAATGTTTCATTTGTTACTTGTTGTGTAAACTTATTTATATTTTTTAATTCCTAAAATATTAATTAGATATAATTAATTAATTAATTAAAAAAAATATAATGATTAAAATGATTAAAATGATAAATTACTTTATGTAATAAATTTTGAAGATTTTTATTAGAAGTAATTAATATATTTTGTAATTCTAAATCTCTCTTAATTGATCTATAACCATAATTTGAAGATCCAATTAGAGTCAAAGAAGGATATTTATTATTATTGAAATAATACCATAACCCTTTTTTTTAAAAAAATAATAATAGTAGTAGTAATTAGAAAACAATGTAGTAGCAGTGATAAAAATGGCTCCAATTTGAAATAATATTTACCTTTGGCATGAAAAGTCCAGTTTTCTCTTTTATATTCATACATTTTAATTAAATTATTTTTATTAAATTTATTTATTTCATCAATAAAACATTTTTCTAAAAATAAATAAGATTTTGGCAAATATTTAGAAAAACCTTTTGAGTGGAAAAATCCATTTGCCTAAAAACAAATTTAATCATAATGATTAATATTAGAGCTAGCATCAGAAATATTATTATTATTAATATTTACCTCAGGTGATGAAGTGATTAAATTAATTAGTAAAGAATTATTATTATTATGATTTATTATTATTTCTTTGTAATTTTTACTTATATTAAAATATCCAGTACTTAAATATAATTTATCATTATTGTTGACATTAATATTGTTATTTATGATAATATTTAATAATTTATTTGTTATTATTTCATCTTGATTGATATTTAATTGATTCATTTGAATAATTGGAGAAATAATTGTATCATATGATGATAACATATCACTACTACTACTATTCATACTACTATAATAATTATTTGTTTTTTTAACCCATTTATTAATAAAATTATTTATCAATAAATATGATTTATTTCTAAATGATTTTTTATTATAAATAGGATCAGGAAAACTGTTATCATCATTACTAGTAATAATTCCATTACTATTAGTGCTATTATTAATTAATTTTAAATTATATGAAAATATTGAAATTGTGTTTAATAAATCTATGAAATATTCTATTATTAATGACTTGCTGTTGCTGCTGCTACTATTATTATTACCATTACCACTAGTATTATTATCAGTAATTAATAAATATCTGTCTTGTCTATTAATAAAATAATCTTTATTAAGATTAGCACCACTCAGAATAATATTATCATCAAATATAAATAATTTAATATGCATTAACCCAATTCCCTCATTAAATCTCGTTGGTAATATTAGTTTTGATAGATGATTTAAATTTGGTGTATGATATAAATTGACTGTTATTCTGTCTGGAAATTCTTTAATCAAATCCAACAAAATATCAATTGAACTATTAGCATTACTACTACTACTATTATTATTGATACTAGTGTTGTAATTAATTAAGGAATAGTATTGATTAATGTCATTTGATTTACTCTGTCTTGTAGATCTTAAATAGTCAAGTAATATATATACTTTTAATCCAGTTGATTTTATCAATGATTTTCTTATTAAATCTATCTAAAAAATAATGAATAGATTTTTACAATAACATAAATATAAAAATATCTAAATATCTATATACATGTTTATAATAAACTCTTACCAATTCTATCTCATTTGATCCAATATATAATGCTGATAAATAAATAATGTTTTTAGCAGATAAAATATTAATCTAAATAAAGGATATTAATATATATATTATCATTATTATAAAAATTCATTATTTAAATCTATTTCATCCTTACTTTTAATTTTTCATAAAATTCTTTTGGACTATTTAATGGTTTGATATCATCTCCATTTAACAAAAAATATGGTATATTGTTATTATTGTAATTGTAATTGTAATTGCCACGATTTTTTTCTTCTTTCAATCTACCTCCCTCTTCTTCTTTATAATTGAAAAATAATTCATTGAATTTATTGAATTGATTCTTATTTAAAAATTCTTTTAAATAATAATTATTATTGTTATGTTGATTTTTCTGAAATAATGAATACATTTTTTTCGGTTAAAAAATTTATTAATCTTATTACGTCATTGATAACGTATGAAAAAACGTCATGTATGATCGACGGAATTAAAAAAAACTATTTATAGCCGTTGTTTTGATCTCTGAAGTTTTTTTTTTTTTAAATTATAAAAATGTCTGAAAAAGAAAAAGAAATCGGTACTTATATATATTAATATTATGATTAATTGATTTATAATTATAATAAAAAAAAATTCTTTTGTAGAATTACTTGAAAATGTCGAACTACGTTTTGCTCTTGTTGATTCAGATCAACAATTAGAAAAATTAGTAAACCTTTTTTTAACACCTGTTCTTTTAAAACTACAAAGTCCTCATGAAGTTGTTAGAACAAAAGTAATTTTTAATTTTCAAATTTTAATTTAAATTGGTTTTTAATTAAATTGTTCTGTTTCAATTAGAATTGTTTTAATTTTATTTGTTTATTAGGTTATGAGTGTTCTTGGTCATATAAATAAACGCATCAAATCAAAATCAAACATTAAACTTCCTTTAAATACTTTGATAAATATTGTTTGTACCGAAAATGTAACAAATTCAAATTTCGTTAAAAATTTTGCCATAATGTATTTAGAAATGGCATATGAAAGAATTACTGAAGAGGTATGATGACCTTTAATAAAATAAATAAATAAATAATTTAATTAGTTAATTAATTAAAGGAGGTAATGTTAGGATGTAACATATATCCTGGACATGTTATATAATATTAAATCAATTTTATTTTATTTTAATATCATCAAAATCAATCAAACAATCAACTAACTAACTAATCAACCAAACGATCAATTAAATCAATTGATTAATTAATCGTTAAAGGAACAAATTGATAATCTTCTCAGTTTAATCAAAAACATTTCTTCGAAACCAGCCTCTCAAAAACAAGCATTGATTCATATTATTTTACCGGTAAATTTATTATCTTTATATGTGTGTATATGTGTGTGTATATACATATAAACACTTATGTTTAAATTCAAATCGATTTTTTTTTTAGGTTTTAACAAAATATAAGCCAAAGGGAGCAGAATCTCCATCATCTTTAGATCCTTATAATTTCCAATCAAATTCTGACGATGCTAAATTTCTCTTAGACTCATTTCTTAATGTATTGCTGTATCATCCAGAATTACAAGCAAGGCAAAAATCATTGTTTCAACAATCTCAAGAACAGAATTCTGGGTACATAAAATAATCATTAATCATATTGAATACATTTTATTTATTTATCACAATAATAATAATAATAACAATAATAATAATAATAAAAGACAACAAGAAGGATCTCAGGACTCTTCTCAGCAAGCGGTGCAAATACCATCCGGTCTTAGTCCGGCTTCTGTGAAATTTGTCACTAATGATTCAAAAGCACAATGGGCATTGAAAATTGCAGATTTAAAACTTATAAAAGTACATTATCAATTTGATCGATAATTAGTAATTTATCAGCAATCAGTCATTTAATGATTTATTCACATCAATCACATATACTTTTATTTTTCTTGATACATTAGATAGGGATTCTTCAATTTGTGAATTCTTATGTGGTTTGGCCAGACTCTTTGCCGAATGATATCCATTTTTTAAGATTTTTGGTCTTATTGGTAGCAAGTTGTGATTCTTCACATGAAGTTGTTAGTGGTGGTGAAGATGGTTTGAAAAAATTGAAAAAAATTGATTTGGAATCTAAAAAGGTATTTATTATTATTTAATAAGATTAGTAATAGCAACATTAAAGATTATAATATTAATTATAATAATAGGTGGTTGATGGACTTTATTCGTTGTATCAAGGCAGCAACTTGGGAAAGTCAACAAATACAGGTATGTAATTATTATTTTATTTAAAAAATGTTTTAATTGATATTTTTAATCTTATTGTTAATACTATGCAAATACTATTGTCAATACTAATAATATAATTATTATTAGCTCAACAAGATCTTATTCGTCAACCTGCTTCAGCAACTCTTAAATATAAAATAATGAACCATTTATGTAAATCTAGCTTGGCAACAAATACATTTCCTGCTATGTTACAAGTTTCATTTGATTGTCTTTATGGTTGCTAATAATAATAATTATAATAACAATCATAATAATTATCATATCATTATTAGCATTTATATATTGATTTATTAAAAATAAAAATTTATTTATAAAGGTCCTACTACAAACTCAAAATTACAGAATCAAGGGATGTATTTTGTTCAGTGGGTTGCAAGAATGGTTGGTGTTTGCTCTCATTAATGCTATTAATAATTCACATGTTTTATAGAATATTCATTATATATTTTTTAGGCTGATGCTTCGAAATTAAGACCAATTGCGCTTGTGCTTTTATCTGGTTTATTAAAATTTATTAAGGAATTAGATGGTCCAGGCATGAATTGTTTTCTTTATAAAAAAAGTATATTTATCTTATTATTATCATTAAATTTACCAGATTATGTTTATTACAGATAAAGAAACATTAAGAGGGTTTGCCTATGTGGCTGTTAGTTTGCTAGCAAAAAGAGGTAATAATTTATATTTGTTCCTAAGTAGTAATTTAAAAAACATTTTTGTTAAAAAATATAAATCTTGATCAATATTAATTTAAATATACATGCACATTAATTAATAGTTCCTGAACTTTTCCGTAAAGATTTATCAATCCTCCAATCATTTTTTGCTGCATTATCAACTGAAAGCAAAAATGTCAAAATTTCTGTTCAAGAAGCTTTGTCTAATATGGTAGAGGCATTTAAAGACGTAGAAACTTGGGCAGATACTGATTCTATTAAAATGATCGAAAAGATTTTAGAAGAAAATGTTGAAAAGGTATTTTTTTTTAATATTGGCTTATTATTTTCTTTTTTTTTTAAATCATTTCTATCTTTAATAGATATATTAATTTTAATTTCAATATTAACAATAGCCTGAACATCAAGCTAGATACTGTGCAATTAAATATTCTATAAACCTTTTTCCATTTGATCATATTTTATCAAGATATTTATGTTTACTTGCATCTTCAGATGAAAAGTTGGAGGTTAAAGAAATGGCATCAAATGGATTATCATTCCCTGATCCAAGGTCACCTAAACTTTATCCAAACGAGCCTGAAAAAGAAATAAAAATTCCTTCATTTAACGATTTGGTTAATTTGATTTATTCAAAATCTAAGCAAAGATCCATTAATTTAATTGAAGTTTTACAAACGACTAGATCATTTGGAAAAAAATATATTTTAGGTTATCGTACCGATGTCTACATGAATATCTTAAAATTTTTGCGAAATTTGATAATAGCTAGTGCTGACCCAACTTCAATAATTGATGAATTATCATTTGAACTTGGTGGTGGTGAAACCACATTAATCAATCCAAACACTAGAAATTTAGTAAAGGAATGGATATATCATCAATGGATCAAAGATCAGAAATCATCAGAAAATATGGACATTGATAATTCACAAGCGTCTGGTAGTTTAAATATTTATTTGGAATTAGTTGAAAAAGGATTGGATAATGAGGGTATTATAGGTAAGTAAAAGCAAAACAAAACATTTATATTTATATTATATTAATTATTCCTTTAGACTCATTGTTACAGTCTACTGCTGCATCATGCCTTTTGGAGCTTATTTCACTTGGTCCATCATCATTATCTAGTTCATATGTGAATCGTATTAAATGGTTAAAGGTATTAATAAAATAGTTATTAGTTATTTTCATTAATTATTTTAAATTTTTGCTCAAGCAATATATATAATTTTTATAGACATTCATGAGTGTGATTAAACTTGAAGTGCGTAATGCAATGGCTCATGTTTTGGGTATTGTTAGTACTAGTGAACTTGAACAATATCCTGAAAGATGTCAAGCCATTGGTGAATTAATTAAAGAATTTTTAAATACTGCAAAAGATCAGTCGCGACAAGTAAATCAACACATTACTATTTTATATAATTTTTAGTATTCACTATTTTAATGATTTCTTTTCTTCGATATGTGCTTTTTTTTAGATATCTAGTGAATATCATCATGGGTGTATTATTGCTTTAGGATATATTATTGGGCGATTATCTTATCGTTATCAATCAAATTTGAGTTCAATTGTTCCACTAACTTTAATATTAGAATGTTTAGATTTTATTTATCAAGATCTTGATTCATCCAAGCAGTTGTGGTTAGTTGGTGCATCGTTAGCATTAGGCGAGGCCTGTAGATATTTTCATTCGACATCTTTTGACAACAACTCCATCATAGATAAAGGTAAAAGTAAGCTCGAAGAAGGTCCTGAGCGGATTTTTGAAAAGATTATTGATAAATTGATCAAACTTGTTAAAAATACTAAAGATGTAAAGGTAAATAATGATACTAATAATTTTTTTCGTTTAGGGATGGGTGTGTATATAAAATTTATTGTTAATGCACCTTACTTTGTTGGCTATTTAGTTTCAAGAAACAGCCATTATGGCTCTTGGATATATTGTTTTTGGAAATAAAATTTATACAGAAAAAGTGTTATCACTTTATTATGATTTAGCCTATTCACTAAATAAACAAGTTGAAGTTCATTTTACAATTGGTGAATCTATTACTTGTATTGCAGCGGGTTGGGAAAGTATTGCGATGAAAAAACATTTGGATATTGCTGACGTCTTGACACCAAAAATTGTCATTGAGCCTGATGTCATGCAAAATATATTAAATAAATTATTCAATGAACTGCTACCTACCGGGAAAGCCTCTGTTAAGAAAGCTATATGTGTTTGGATGCTATGTTTAGTTAAATTTTGCTCAAATCATGAAGTTGTCAAGGTATTTTATATTTAATATTTTAGTTTAATTGAATTAATGCAAAATAAATACGTGAATAAAATAAACACATTTGTTTATAAATTACAAATTGATTAGAGCTCCTTGCCTAAAATTCACGGAATGTTTTCACTTTTGTTAGCTGATCGAGATGGTAATTATTTAATGATTATTTATTTATTACAAATATTAACTTATTTAATTTGACGCAAATCCTTATTTATTATTTTATAGAATTTACTCAAGAAGTTGCATCGAAAGGTATTGGACTTGTATATGAATTAGGCGATAAAAAAGTGAAAGAGCAGCTTGTGGATTCACTTGTTGGAATGTTTGGTGGCAAAAGACCTAAGGAAACAATTGAAAATGACACACAATTGTTTGATGCAAATATTCTCGGTCAAACACCTGACGGATCAACAATCACGACATATCAATCAATTCTTTCCTTAGCATCTGATATGAACCAACCGGAACTAGTTTACAAATTTATGCAATTGGCTAGTCATAATGCCATGTGGCAATCACGTAAAGGAGCAGCATTTGGATTCTCGAATATTATTTCACAGGCTGAGAAAGAACTGGAACCATACTTAAAAGATTTAGTCCCAAAACTTTACAGATACCAATATGATCCAAATCCTAGAGTCAATGAAACTATGACAAGTATTTGGAAAGTTTTGGTTAAGGATCCAAAAAAAGCTACAGACGATTACTTTGATATAATTATTAAAGATTTGTTGAAGGGCCTTGGTGATAGATTATGGAGAACAAGAGAATCTAGGTAAAAAAAAATAAATATTCATATATTCCTAATAAATAACTAGTGGATTAAAATAATATTATTTATGTAGCGCCAATGCTTTAACGGATCTATTGCAAGGTCGTCAAATTCAACAAATTGAACCATATTTAAAAGATTTATGGACTATGTGTTTTAGAGCTTTAGATGACATCAAGGTTATTATTGTATATTATCAAAACCATTATGTACGAATCTAATTAATTTGTTATAATTATCACCACTTAATTATAATAACAGGAAAGTGTAAGGATAGCAGCATTTAAAGCATGTCGTTCTTTAACCAAGGTTACAGTAAAGTATTGTGATCCAGACAATGTATCAACTGCCGAAGGACAAAAAATAATGGATATCATCATGCCATTCCTATTGACAAAAGGATTGGTGTCTGATGCTGAAGATGTTAGAACGTTTTCATTAAAGACAATATTAAAAATTTGTAAAACTGCAAAAACTTTATTAAAATCCCATATAACTGAAATAGTTGAAAATTTATTAGAAGGATTATCTAGTATGGAGCCTCAAATTATGAGTATGTGGTTGTCAATGTCGTTGCATAGAATCCTTTTCTTTATTAATATAAATATAGAATTATTAACAATACCAATGTTATTATTGATAGATTACCTTAGTTTTCATATTGAAAAATATGATGTTTCACAAGAACAGGTATCTTTCTTATTCAAATTCTATATTTAATTTAATAAAATTTTAGAAAATTTTAACTTATTTAAATTTATCTTTTTTTCAAAAAAAAAAAAGCTTGAAAATAAGAGATTATCTGCTACTAAGGTATCTCCAATGATGGAGGGGATTGAATCATGTATAGATTATATAGATGAAAAGGTTTTAGAGACGTTAATTCCCAAATTATTACAATTGATTAGAAAAGGCGTTGGATTACCAACTAAGGTATTTATTGGCTTCGAATTATACCATCATTATCATCATCATCATCATGATCATCATCATCATCATTATTCTAGATGACTAAACTCAATCAATCTAATCAACAAATTTTGTTTTATTAGGCTGGTTGTTCAAAATTTGTAGTTTCAATGTGTCTAAAACAAGCACAAATTCTCAGACAACATGCAGACGCCATTATGAGAGCGTTAAGCGGCGCAATCTTAGATCCATCGTCTACAGTCAGAAAATCTTATGCTGTGGCAGTTGGTTATTTAGCACATTTAACTACTGATAATACTTTGATCAAATATATTGAACACGTCAAAAAATTTTATATTGAAAACAGTGGTATGTCATTATTTTTATAGTTGCTGTCTAATTAATATTATGACTATTGATTTCCCTTTTTTTTGGTGAAAAAATAGAGGATTCAAATAGATCCATTACGGCTATTTCAATACTTGAAATGTCAAGACATGCTTCAGATGAATTAAAAAGAATTTATGTCGAAGTCTTACCTTTAACATATTATGGTATGCATGATTCTGATAATAATATTAAGAAAATTTGGGTTGACATATGGGAAGAAAATACAGCAGGTAATTAAAGTTATTTTATCTTTAATATTGTATATGCTAATTAGCATTAATTGATTGATTGGTTTGATTTATTAAATGTGTCAGGTTCTACTGGTGCAGTTAAATTATATTTAAAAGAAATCATTGAACTCCTAACAGTATTACTGGAATCACCATCATGGTCAACTAAAAGACAAGCTGCATTAACTATTGCTGATGTAGCCAAAACCATAGGTAGTACTCTAATAATCAAAATTTTATATGTATGCGTGTGTGTTTTTGTTTGTTTACATAAATTTGATATTTTGTTTAGAACAAAGTTTGTTGATATATATGGATAAAGTACTTCCATTATTAATAACTGGATTATCGGGTAGAACTTGGGTAGGCAAAGAAGCATTAGTTGAAGCATTAACTACAGCTTCCGTTTCGTGTAAAGAATATTTTAAAAATAATGAAAATCTTCCCAAGTTAAATGAAATTGCTAAAGTGAGTAATAGTGACATGATATAACATCTTAACATATATATTTATATATGTGTATTAGTTCAAATATTTACAATTTTATATTAATATAAATGTATATTGTATATACAGGTGCTTATTCGTGAAAGTAAAAAGAACAATAAGGAGTATAAAAGACATTGTATTTCATTATTAGGGAAATTTTCCTCTTGTTTTACTGATACAATTGATTTATATCCCGAAGTTAAAGATTTTTTGATTGAGTTGATGACTGGTGAATTAGATCCAGATGAAATGGATGTGGATGATACAAAAGAAAAACCATTATTTTTTTTGATAAAAGCAAATTCTGCTCTATGTATTGGTATGGCCTGGTCTAGCAAAAGAGATATCCAAGGTAAATTTTTTCATATAAATTTAAGATTATTATTATTATTATAAAATTAAAAATTAATTTTTATATCCATTTTTTTTTTTTAAAGTAAAATATTCAAAAGAATTAGGCACATCATTAGGAAACTCGTTATTATCAGGAAAAAACGTATGGAACGTAAGACTTAACTTATTAGAGTCGCTTGAAAAATATATTGATAGGCTGGATATTAAATCAATGGTAATTGATGAAAACGATAAGATTGAAAAAATATTGGACGAAGAGACTTTAATTAGCATTTTTAAAGGTTTGAAGGACAGTTTATCAGACCTTAAATATGTTGCAATACGTACAAAAAGTCTAGAGGTTTTGAAAAAAATATTAGAAAGAATTAAGGGTAAGTTGAAATACGTAAATTTTCTTTAAAAAGTAATAAATTTATTTTCTCTTTTAATAATTTTTTTTATTTATTTTAGAAACATCTTTAATAAATTCATTAAATATTAAAAATGAATTAAAAGAATTGATTTTAATCGTCGAAAAAGATCCTCAACCAAGTATTTCAGAATTAGCTAAAGATTTAAAGAAAATTATTTAATTTTAAGTTTTTAATAAATACTTGCCTTTTGCATCTCTTGGTTGATATTTATATGATCCTTTTCTTTTAGGAATAGACGGCATTTTTGTTTATCTTTAATAATTAATATAAAACAAATTTACGTGTAATATTACTTATTAATCAACGTGTTCATAAAAAAAATATTCATTTATTATTATTATTTATTATTATCATTTGGCTAGAAATATTTCACGTGATAAAATGATCAACAAAAGGGGTAATGAATGATCATTTGAAAATTTAATATTAATAAAATTGACTTTTTAAACACCATCAGCTCCCAAAAAATTAAGCAATTAAAAAAATTTAAACCATGGAATCGAAAGAGAATCACTTAAACTATTATTTGCACGTTTATTTTCAAAAAATTTTAAAATTAGATGACGAGTATAGGTGGTACTCACCATAATGATTTTTATATATTATTATTTCTAAACTAAATTTGGCTATAATTTTGTATATAGTTGCAAGGATGCCCATTTTTTTATAATTTGTGATCCATCAATGAATGAAAGGATCTACATAGTAAATTAGTATTAGTATTAGTGTCCATATTATATGGAAAAGTGCCCGATTGTATAAAATCAAACATTACTTTTTCCAAAAAAAAATAAAAAATAAAATGTCTACACCAAAAGATAGAATTACGTTAGTGACTAATCATTTGAAATCAAGCTCATCCTTACCTCGCTTGCATGGAAAAGTTTGTATTATCACTGGTGCAGGTTCTGAAAGGGGCATTGGGTAAATTAAGTTTGACCAATAAAATTGAATTTTAGAAAATTATTCAATAATTTTGAAGTCATAAAGACATAATAACCTTTTTATTAAAGGATAGCAACAGCTTGGTTATTTGCTAAAAATGGTAATTAATCATATAAAAGATCATTAAATTTTAATAATATCATTTTTATTTCCACTTAATATATACTATTAAATTAATCTTTATTAATAATAATAAAAAGGTGCTAAAGCAATCTATTTAATAGATTATTGTGATGAATTCTTGCCAAAATTAGCCAAAGACATTGAAGAAATATATGGTAAAGTGACAACAGTGGTTGCACGTAAACTTGATGCTGCAGATGAACAATCCGTAATTTCAATAGTGAATGATGCTATTGAAAGATTTGGAAGATTAGATGTGTTTTTTGCTAATGCTGGTGAGTTAATTATTCGTATTTAAATTTGTATAAATTTAATAATACATTTATTGATTTATTTATTTTTAATGTAATAATAAAGGTATTGGTACATCATCTCAAAGACTTGAATCTTCTCGGTTTTTAGAAGTTATGAGGGTAAATTTTTTAATATTATTTTTTATACATTTTTTTTTTTTTAATTTCTAATTATTGTTTTAAAAAAATAATTTTAGGTAAATACACTTAGGTATCTATATATATACACATACATACATACTCATATATATATTGATGGATCAGTATTTTTATTTAGTGTATTCCTTGCAATAAAATTTGCATCAGAAGCGATGAAAAAAACAGGAAATGACAAGAAATCTTCTTCAGGATCTATTATTACAACATCATCTGGTTAGTTAATAGAGAAGGCAACTTTAACAGTTCAATAGATTACTCAGCTTACATGCTATTTAAAAATTTTTTTTAGTTGCTGGATTAAGATTTGGTGCTGGTCCAATGGATTATTCGGCTTCAAAAGCAGCGTAATTAATCACTTTTAATGCATATATATAAAAACTCTGCAAGAACATTTTTAATTTTTAATACATAAATTTAATTAATCAAATTAACAGTGTAATCAGTCTAACTCAAGCAGGAGCATGTGAATTAGCTGGTACAAATATACGTGTTAATTCTATATGTCCAGTACGTAGTCTCAGTTTTTATATTGTTAATTCTTTTGAATAAAAATCAAAAAATTTAATCATTTTCTAGGGTTTAATTGAAACAAATATGTCAAAACCAATATTTGATGTTGCTCGTAAACGAGGTACAATCAACAAGGTTGGTCAATTGAATCCTCTACGAAGATATGGTCATTCTGAAGAGGTATTGTTATTTATTCATCCATCCATTGACCAATCAATTTGTTACTAATACTTATCAACCAATGCAAATAAATATCCATATTTAGATTGCAAATGTTGCACTTTTTTTGGCAAGTGATGAAAGTTCTTATATTAATGGACAAGCTATACCTGTTTGTGGTGGATTATCAGCCTCATTACCTGTTGTAATGCGTTAAATCAAATATGCAAATAGCTTATCTATCAATCCCCAAAAATGATAAATAATATTTTATAATAAAATTTTTGGACAAAGTAATATTAAATCTGTCTATATTAATATATTAAATATATTAAATATATTAAATACAGTCTAAATCAATAATTTTTTAAAAACGCATTCCTAAAATATTAGGATTTAAAGCAATCCTTTCAACTTTGGCATTTCTAAGATGATACACTTTCTTATTTCTCTAAATCTATCTAAAAACGAATTTGCTATTTGTTCTGATAATTCACCTGATTGTTGTACCTCCAACTTAAGTTTTATCAGAAGAAGAGGCAGTGAAAATCTCTTGATTATGATAATAATGGAAATATTAATAATGATGATGATAATAATAACGGGGGTATTATTAATAATACAAGTCCCGTCATAATGACATTCGTTATTATTATATTGGCAATTTTTAAAAAATCAAATTTATGAATATAAAATTTACTACAATTGAATTTATTCTGTTATAATGACACTTGTTATAACAACATGTCAGTATAATAATAATAATACACTATGCAAAAACTCAATTTTGGTCTGGGGTTCTAGACTCCTATATTCAGGGTTGGGAATCGTACACGTATCGTACACGTACGTATGAGCTTAAAATTTTTTTAGTACTAGTACATTGTACGAACATATCATGTGATTGATTTATGATAATTTTTATTGGTTGATCAAATGTAATACAAATGTGTAACTTTCGTCACGGCGAACTATAATAATAATAATAATCAAACTCTTGTCATAACGGATTTCTAAAATTTTTTGCTTCGCATATCATATGTAAAAATATATAAAAATCCGCTGTGGCAAGATTAGTATTAGTATTTAGTAATCTTGCCACAACGGATTTTAAAT